GCACGGCAGGGACTCCCGCGGCGGGGTCCACGTGGACCCTGGGCCGCGGGGGACCGGAGCCCGCCCCCCGCGCGTGGGGGAGGGGCGCTGCAGCCGGTTCCCCTTTTTCTGCAGCTCGGAGCCTGGGGAGCGAGTGCTCGAAGGTGGGGGCCGGAAGGACCCAGGTTTCCGCGTCTCCCGACCCCCAGCCTGGCCGGGAGGGGCCGGGGCGGGACACCCTGTCCGCCCCCGCCCCCAGCCCGTTGCATCGGGCAGCCACTTGGCCCCGCGAGCTGTAGGGGAGGCGCTGCGCCCCCGGCCCCAGCCGACCGGGGGGCTCCTGGCGCCAGCCTCCCGCCAGAGCGCCGCAGGGGTACCTCCTGCCGTCCGACTGAGTCCCCGCCGCTGCAGTGCACGCCCCTTCGGCAGCCGGGGTGGGGCCCACATCCCGCCGGGCCCCTCCCGCCCCCACCCCCACTTCGGGTCGCCGGTGAGTGGGGCGCCCCGGCGAGTTCCTGGAGGTAGGGGCGGAGGCGTCAGCGGCCGGAGGGAGGGGCTCCCCCAGACTGGAGCTGCCAGCTGGGAGAGGAGCAGGGTTGGGGGTCGCCACCACCACTTCGGAGGTGGGCTGGGGCGAGGGTCCCAGGGCTAGGGACGGCTGTCCTGCCTGGGAGGGGCGGCCGGGCTCCACCAGCCGGAGGGAGAGGGCGGCAGCCAGGAAAGGCACCGGGCAGGGTCAGAAGGACTGGGAATGGGGCCCCTCTGTCAACCCCCTCCCAAAGGTTATGACATTTTTTTCTGAGATTGTCACATTTTCTTATTCTTTTTTTGGACTGGCGAGGCTTGGGGACGTTCTTTTTCCTTCTGTGGAGCAGAGCAGCAACTGCTCCTCAGGGAGCCTCTGTCCCCAGAGACCAGATTTGCTGCCTGTCTGGCCTCTCCCCTGGCAGACTTGGGGGGCAAGTCCTTGAGGGGCTGGGGAGGGGGAGGAGCCCCCCAATACCAGGATGAGGGGTAGGACCCTAGTTCAGACTCTGTATCTCTCCAGGAGAGAAGAGGGGCAGCCCGGGCACCCACGGGTAGCCTGGCGACATGGGTGGCCCCAGCTGACCTGAGAAGGGTTCAGGGAGCCAGGGACAGGCGACCAGGTCCAGGGCCTGCACCTGGAAAGAAGGGACCCCAAACCCCTGGACACGTCCCTTCCTCTCCTGAGAGCCTGGGTGGAGATGGCTGCCCAGGAGGGACAGACTCAGGGTGCTGGAGTCCCCAAGTGGGGGTGGAGATGAGGAAGTCACAGCCAGGCTGGGTACAGCTACCAGACCTCAGGCTGCCACGCCCCTTCCTTTCCCTAGAAACTTGACCCCTAAAGAAAAGCCCAGCCTCAGGACTGCTCTCTGTCTCCCCATCTGCTCACTGGGAGCCTGTGAGACCCACAGATCTCAGAGGAAGCTGCCCAGCTGGTGAGGGGCCAAGGCCCCAGGGGACTCTGCACCTGCCCCCAGGTGTGGGTCAGGGCAGTGGCCTCCGTGTGCCCAGACCCTGGGGCAAAACTCCGGCTTGTGCCGTCTGAGCAGAGCTCACACACTCAGGCCCCGGAGGCCCAGAGAGGCCAACAAGGACAGAAACAAGGATTCAAAGGCCGCAAGCTGGGAGTGGCTCGGCGGGGAAAATTAAGATTAAGTGACAAAATAAAGTAGAACCAAGTCATGAGCCTCCTGGCTGCTGAGGGTAGTGGATGTGCAGGGAGGCCCAGAGAGCCCTCACCTGGACAGTGGTGGGCTCAGGTGTTCAAAACTGCCTCCAGGACGCTGATTGGCCGCCCTGCACCGTTCCCCGAGGGGACGCTGGGATCCATGGTGGTTTCTTAGGTGGCACAAGGGCTGTTCGTGGCTTCGTGCCCCGGGTGTGCCTCTGCTGCAGAAGGTGTGGCCCAGCGCTAGGAAGGACGTGCACCACCTCGGGGACTCTGAGGCAGCAACAGGGGAGCAAGGCCAGGGCACCCCCCTTCCCTGGCTGGCGTGCCCCGTACCCTGTGCTAGGGCCTTGGGGCTGCAGTTTCCGTAGCCGGGAGGCAGTGGGCAGCGAAGGAGGAAAACCCTGCGTGACAGCAGGGGTAAGGAGGTGTCACAACCAAAGAACCATGTTCCCTGGGAGGCACATGTCCCTCTTCACCAGTGCCCTGCCCCACTTCCCACACCCTCAGGAAGTCCTGCCCTGAGTCTCACTGAAATCCTCAATGCTGCAGGCCTGGCCTGCTGCCCCTGGCTGAGTCTACCGTGGCCCATGGACAGACCTGGATTCTTGGGGGGGAGCAGCTATACCCACCTCCCTACCCCAGAGTCTGGGCAGAAACACCCTGGAGGGATGTCTGACTGCCACCCCAGGCACCAGCCTTAGCCCCAGACTCTTGGGGCCCCAGCCCCCTTGGGAGGGGCCAGGAGCCGGAAACCAAGAAAGAGGAACCCAGGCTTCCGGCTTCCCAGGGACTGGGCAGATGGGGGTGTCCCGGAACTCGTAGGGGGGGCCTCATCTGGGGCCCAGCCCGGGAGGAGCCAGAAGCTGCCGCAGCCCCCTCCTCCCTGACCCTGGACCCTTCACAGCCCTGGTAGGGGTCAAGGTGGGAGCAGAAGCTGGGCAGAGCTGGGTCTAGGTGGGTGGGCAGGAGCAGGCCCCTCCAGGGCTCTGAGGAGGAGGAGGGAGGAAATACCCTCTTGAGACCCCTCCCAGGGGACAGGTGGGGGCCAGGGTCAAAGGTTCTCAGTCAGAACCTTGGCCCCTCTCCCCAGGCCCCTAGGCTGTGGTGAGGGTCCGGGAGCTGGCACCACGGAGCCTGGGCAACCTCCTCTGCCCACCCATGCCCACCCCGCATGAGGCTGAGAAGCAGGTATGCCACGTCTCCCTCCTCTGTTCCCTGGGGAGATGGGGTGGGCAAGTGACGGGCCACGAAGAGTTGGGAGACCTCTGAACACTGGGAGGCCGGAAGGGTCCTCCCCCTGGGTGTGTGGCCACCAGTGGGTGTGGAGGAGAGGTGTGTGGTCTGGGGGTCTGGCCTGGAGGCCAAGGTGGCTCTGTCCTCCCCCAGCACCCAGGGCCAGAGGAGGCAGACCGGCCCCCCTCAATGACCAGTCATGACGCAGCCCCTCCGGCCGCCCCTAGCCGCAACCCCTGCTGCCTGTGCTGGTGCTGCTGTTGCAGCTGCTCCTGGTAGGTGGGGCCCGCCTGGGTGGGGAGGGGCGGGGGTGGGGCTGCACACACCCAGGATGGGACCCTCTGGTGGCCTCTGAGGCATCCCCTGCAGGCAGGACGCCCCTGCTACCATGCAGCACCAGCCTGCCCAGGAGCTGTTGGTCCCTGGCGACCCGTGTGCCTGGCCCCTGGGAGGCTTGCACGTGGCTCCCGCACCTGGTGTGCTGAGGACCGGTCTGGTGCTGCGTGCACACGTGCACCCATACACTCAGTACATGCCTGTCGGCGCCGCTGTGAGCCCCTAGGCTGGGCCCTGGGCCCTACAGTGGAACAAAGCAGGCACAGGTCCTGCAGATCGTGTGGAGCGGAGGGCTGCTGAGCAGAGGCCAGAATGAGGGAACAGCTCGCCCCGGGCAAGGGGAAGAGCTTCCCCATTAGCCGGCTTGGCGACAGAGAAGAGCACTGGGGCGTCTGAGTGTCCGTGTGGTAAAAGGGTTTTCTAGGAGTGTAGGGTAGCTAGTGGACATTTCCGTGCCTTGCAGAAGCCTGGCCCTATTCAGGCTGAAGGCCCTTGGCTGTTGAGGGGACAGCACTTGGGGACCCAGAGTAGGGTCGACTGCCCAGTGAGCAACAGGCAAGATACGGGGTGGGGGGGGAGCGTGAACAGTTAGGACTTGCTAGGAGCTGGGAGTCGGGGAGGCAAGAGGTTCGAGGCCTGCATCTGGGGGGCAGGGTGGGGCAGGAACTGAGCTCTGTCTGGGCGTAGGTCTGGGTTTGAGAAGCCTGCCGGCCATCAGGGGCCTGGGTTATGGATTTGGCCTGGCAGTGATGGAGCACTAGGCCCTGAGGCAGGGGTCAGGCTCCAGGACCCGGCGGGTTAGACGCAGGGGCTCTCACCCTGCATCGGCCGACAGGACATGTGCTGACACATCGGACCTGCGGCGTGGACGCCTGGGCCAGAAAGGGACAGGGCCGACGTCAGGCTGAGAGCAGGGTCTTGCCTGGTGGGGGTGGAGCACAAAGGAGCCCCCAGGGTTCCAGTGGGGACCTGGGAAGGAGGGCAGAGGCGTGGCCTGGGCACTGTGGCAGGGACGGCAACCTGGACCCTTGGGGGGACAGGCGGGGAGGGGCCGGCAGTGCGTGTGGACGTCTCCCAGGAGGGCGTGAAAGGAGCCAGTTCCAGGGGCTGCCCCCGCTGCAGCAGGCTCACACCCGTGCCAGGCACCCCGTGTCCTGTGTTTGCCCATGTGCCGAGGGCCCGCGTGTGGCCGCAGTGGCGTGTGCATGTGTGTGGAGGCCCGTGCGTCGAGGGCAACGCCGCTTTCTCTCTGCCGTCAGGAACGAAAGGCGGCGGCGAGCGTGGCAGGCCTCCCGGGAGAGCAAGCTGCAGCCCCTGCCCAGTTGCGAAGTGTGGTGAGTCCCGCTGGCCAGAGGCTGCGTGGGGGGCGGGCTTGGGCCGGGGGCCTCAGGCCTGACGTGGCCTGGCCGCAAACTCGTGGCCTCCTGCAGTGCCACGCCGAGCCCCGAGGAGGTGCAGAGCTGGGCACAGTCCTTCGACAAGCTGATGCGCAGCCCGGCGGGCCGCAGCGTGTTCCGGGCCTTCCTGCGCACGGAGTACAGCGAGGAGAACATGCTCTTCTGGCTGGCCTGCGAGGAGCTGAAGGCCGAGGCCAACCAGCACGTGGTGGACGAGAAGGCGCGGCTCATCTACGAGGACTACGTGTCCATCCTGTCCCCCAAGGAGGTGCGCCAACCGCCAGAACGGGCACGGGGGGGTCAGCCTGTGTCGGGCACCACGGGGGGGACCTTCTGGGCCCCCCTGACCTCGGTGCCGCTTCTGCAGGTGAGCCTGGACTCCCGTGTGCGCGAGGGCATCAACAAGAGGATGCAGGAGCCGTCCGCGCACACGTTTGACGACGCGCAGCTGCAGATCTACACGCTCATGCACCGGGATTCCTACCCTCGCTTCCTCAGCTCCCCCACCTACCGCGCCCTGCTGCTCCGGGGGGCCTCGCAGTCTTCCTCCGAGGCCTAGGCTGCACACCCGGGCCCCGTGGGCAGACTCCGGGTTACCTTCACGTGTTCATGCCAGCAGGGCTGTCAGGGCGCACACCTGAAGGCGCGGCCTGGCTGGCTGGGGTCCCCGCCCTGGAGGCAGTGCTGACCCCAGAGGGAAAGGCGGCCTCCCCCGGCTCCGTCCGCAGGCCCAGCAGGAGCTCCGGGTGCAGGCGGAAGCCCTCGCGGCCTGCGGCTGGCCGGCCCAGTGCTCCTGCCTGGTGACGAGGGGCCCTCCCAGGAAGCACCCTGGACCTGTGAGCCTCGTGGGGGCCTCCTCCCCAGGCAGCCAGTGGTGAAGACGTGCCTTTGCCGGGCAGTGGGACCTCCAGATACCTAGTTTTGTAACGTGAGACCTTCTACTTGAGTTGTCTGTACCTCAGAATCAGGCTCAAGGTGACAGGACCCAATTTTTTTTATATTTTCATGAACTTTAAACCTGGAAATGTGTCCTTACTGTGTTTTATCTAAAAAAGAAAAAATGTTTTCATATTTATCTCTCTTCCCTCATCCCCACCCCAAAATAGGATGTCTTATTATTGAAGGTATTTTTAAAAGGAAAGTCTCTCTTGTATTTCCAGGCTTGTGGGGAGATGAGAGAATGAGGAATCGTCCCAGACTCAGCCTCGGCGCGGGGGCATGGGCTCTAGGTCCCACCTGGGGGGCAGAAAGAGCCCTGTGTGCCCTGTCCCGCCCCACGCTCCCCCTGGACACCTCCTGAGCCGTAACACGGGTCAGCACAGGGTGACCACAGCACTTCATGAAGGCTTGGGACGCAGTGGGACGTGCCACCCGGACCCTTGGTGGACAGTTGTCCCCAGCAGGTATCAAGGGTGTCCCCCGCAGGCAGGCCAGCGGGGAGAGTCCCTTGACGCTGGGCACAGTGCCATCTTCGTCGTGCAGGCCCCTCCAGGCAGTGCTCACCACTCCATTGTCCCGAATTTCTGGGAAGTCAAGCAGTTTGAAGCTGGAATTGGCTCAGGGTCCTGGGACCGCCACTCTACAGGGTGAACTCCACCAACGGGACGCGGACAAGCCGTCCTGCGGGACATGGACCCGGGCCCTGAGCTGCCCCTGCCCGAGAAGGTGGGGAGGACGACGGGCAGGGTGGTCCAACCAAGACCCGCGTGGGACCCAGGTGTCTGCGTGCACAGGGCCTCTCCCCACCTGTCCGCACAGCTCGCGGGGCCTGCTCCACGCACGCACTGCACAGGCAGAGCCACCCCGGTCCTTGAATCGTACGGCAGAGGTGACCTCTCTGAGGGTCGGTCGAGCTCTTCGCCCAGCACTGACCCACCGGGGCCCAGCCCGGGCGCTGCCTGACCCCAGGGAGAAGTGCTGCCCAGCAGCAGCAGGGACGGGGCCTCCAGGAGCAAGGGCCAAGGACAGCAAGGTGGCAAAAAGAAACATTTAATAACGAGGGAAAGGAGCAGAAAGGTGCACTCTAGGCAGGCAGGTTGGGGCAGGGTGGGCTGCCTTCAGGGGCCTCCAGAGAGGCTGTGTCCATCCAGGACTGGGGAGGGCTGGCACTGGCCACGGCCCGGGGCTGCAGGGCAGCTGCAGGAGGGCTCAGCAGAACTGCAAGAAGTAGGTGAGTGGCATCCAGGGTGGGGACAGGACAGGTCCACCTGGGGCTGGGGTCTCCCCCACCCCCGAGACTCCCAGGAGGCTGGCTGGGCACAGCCATCAGGAGTTCATAGCACAGACCCCACGCCAGCTGGGACACCCACCTCCTGAGAGCGGGGTCGGGGGGCAGCCTGGGCTCACCCACCTACCTTCCAGCGGTTTCCACACTCATTGCAGACAACAAAGGTGGTCATCGGCTCGTCAGAGCTGCGGGTCTGCACCTGTGGGGAGGGCTGGGTGAGCCCAGGGTCACCTTGGGCTCTGCTGCAGGGGCGTCCCTGGCCTTGGCAGTGCTGCTCTTGCAGTCCCTGGACCCCCATGGGTGACCTGATGTGAGGCTGCCCAGCAACCCCAACCTTCCAGAGCTGAGCCTCGGGGGGAGAGGGCAGGTGGTCCACCACGGCAGAGGACCTTGTAGGGTAGCTAGTGGACATTTCCGTGCCTTGC